GGAACATCGAAAAAAGCCTGATGCTTTTTGGAAACAAGTCCCATGGAGTGATGAAGTTAGAAAATAACTTTTTGGACAAAGGTATGTTTGGAGAAAAAAGGGTGCAGAATTTCATAAAAAGAACACCGGTCCAACTGTTAAACACGGGACTGGTTTGATCATGCTTTGGGCTTGTGTTGCAGCCAGTGGCACGGGGAACATTTCACAGGTAGAGAGAAGAATGGGTTCAGTTAAATTCCAGCAAATTCTGGAAGCAAATATCACACCAATAGTAAAAAAGTTGAAGATGAAGAGAGGATGGCTTCTACAACAGGGCAATGAGCCTAAGAACACCTCGAAATCCAGAGTAGTCTGAGTGGGCGGAAGTTCGCTGCATAGATCAGCCTCTCATTGGGCGCAACGAGCCACCCGCTGAAGTCCCGCCCTACCACCTTGTGTAGCAGTTTTCAACACGTCCTTTACTAACTTTTGCGGTGTTTGATCTCGCGGGGATGTAGCCATTTTTCTGCCATGGTTCGCGTCCTGTACGCAATATTTTTGTGGGCGTGTTACACCAAAACCTGTTTCCCCCCGGCAATATTTTTGCAAGCGCACCATTGCTGGCACTGCCAACAACGATTGTGATTGGTTGAAAGAAATAAAAAAAGCCGGGGCGTTTTTTTCTCCAATCTTAAAGTGAGAGTCGGCGCAGCCAGACCTTTCTTTTCTTGAGAAAGGTCTGGTGAGCGAGACTACCTAAAGAGGAGCAAGCTGAAGGTTTTGCCATGGCCGTCATAGTCCCCCAACCTAAACATCATTAAAAATCTGTGGATAGACCTCAAAAGAGCAGTGCATTCAAGAGGGCCCAAGAATCTCACAGAACTAGAAGCCTTTTGCAGGAAGAATGGGTGAAAAACCTCATACAAGAATTGAAGGACTCTTAGCCAGATACAAAAAGTGTTTAGAAGCTGCGATACCTGCCAAAGGCACTCTGGCACCTTAACTATTTTCAAAGTAAAAAAATCATCCCCGTTCAGAATCAGTATACTTTAATAGTGAATTAGAAAAAAATGCCTTCTGGCACCCTTTCACAGCCCAGCTTTGGTCCATGGACCACAAGTTGAATGTCACTGCTGTAGCAGATCCTCCCAGCTGCCCACCAACATCTTTAGATGTTGATATGTGGTTGAATTTAGGTTGTGACATCAAGTGACCAATTTCAATATTATGAATAATGGATGTCACCCATTGGTTTGTGGACTACCATTTTGAGGCCTCAAAGTTGGCATTTCAGCCATCCCCATCTTGTTTTTTGGAGCCAGAAGTGACCATATTTGGACCAGAGGGTGGAGCTTACTTAAATGGTCAGGCTCCATCATATCTTAGAGAGCCCACTAGAACACTGCGCTCTGAGAATACAGGGTTACTCGTGGTCCCTAAAATCTCCAAAAGTAGATCAGGACCCAGAGCCTTCAGCTATCAGGCTCCTCTCCTGTGGAATCATCTTCCTGTTACGGTCCGGGAGGCAGACACCGTCTCCACATTTAAGACTAGACTTAAAGAGGCAACAGATAGCATCTTTTCCTAAATATATCATTATAAAAATAATGTGGGTTGCAAAGGGTAGAGGCCACAGTAAAATCAGACTATCAGCGTTTACATAGGTTACTTAGTGGCTTTGCAATAAGCTTCTGCCACCGATGCCAAAATTTCAAGGAAAAAATCTGCTTTACGGCAGTAAACGTGTCATGTATTGCGAAATTGGTCAGTCAGCCAATCAGGAATTGGAGTGGGTCATTATGAGGAGTTGGGCATGAGATAGTTGAGTCACGAGCACAATGGCAGAGGGACAAAGTTTGGAGAATAGTGAAAAACGGCCTAGCAAAAGAAAACGAGCTCCTCTGTCTGAGGTGGCAAAGATATCAGAAAGGAGAGTGATAAAAGAAGAGGAAAAACAAGAGTAAACCTCAGTCAGGCGTTCAAGAGATGGAGGGAGCTCCGTGACCAAAGAGGCTTCAAAACTGATGTCCAGCTAGCTTTCTTTCTAATGGATCAGTAAGTACACGGCTAAATGTTAACTAGACAAGCGAAGACTGTACTGTACTGGCTGCTAGTTAATTCCTAGCTGGCCAGCATCGCAAATCACCGCAACCAGGGACCGGGTAGCGAGTGTTGGTCGGCTGACATCCTCGTTGCCATTCTACGGCAGCCCTCGGACAGTGATATCCCCCTCCCTTCCTTCTGTTCTATCGTGAATGACTGTGTGGACGTGCTGACGTATTGCGGTAAGCGAGTTGTGCCTGATGCCGCCTACTGCTGCTGTTATTAGTCATACTTTTACTGTTATTATACACCAGAGATGGGGACTCGAGTCATTGTCAATTGGACTTGAGTCAACTCGAGTCGCTGTTTTGATGACTTGTGACTTGACTTGACAAAAAATAAAAGACTTGAGACTCATTAAAGACTCAGGACTTGACTTGACTTGAGACATGATGACTTGAATGACTTGAGTGTTATT